AAAGTTCAAATGACTCTTCGCATCTCACATATGCTTTCGCTTTCAGAACTTCTGTAAGCTTACAGTCTTTAAAACCTTCTTAGACTTAGACATTTCCTAAAAATGGGTAGCCTGCTAGGCTAACCTGCAACTGTGTAAGTGCATCCGCTACAATACCAGCTTGAAGTTGCAGTAGCTGGGGACAAACAGCCCCAGGTGATGGTCTATGATAACAATTCTTTATATCAAGTTGGAAAAAATAGACTGGGAATCACTTAAAATTCTAGCATTAAAGGAGTTGTAGAAAGAAAGGACTTCCTTTTAGAAATTATATGAAAGCTCTGAAGTGTTGTGAGCCACTGTAACTATAATGCTTGCTACATTGGAATGCAGTATTATAACTAAAGGTCACTGTGTGCAGCAATTGTTATTTATTGTTCTCTCCTTTAAAATTGCTTTTCTTTTCAGACTTAGAGAAAAATTAATAACCTTCTGTGCTTCTCCATGCAGCCAGTTACACACTCAAGCTAATTATAGATCATATTAATTTGGCCTGCCATACATGCAAAGTCTGGAGGTGTCCAACTTTTCTGTCACAAATCTTTCTGGCATAAAAAAAAAAAAGAAATTAGCCAACTGTCTGCAATTAGTAGGTATCTGGACAAAGTGGACACATGGTGTGTGTTGTTACTTCACATTAATGCACCTCGTAGGCATTCATGATCAGTAGCGCATATTTCTATCTGGGAAATCTCAGAACAGAAGTTTTTCACATGATGGGTGTCCTTTGCAGTATATACATGATGAGCTATTTGTTATAATCCATGTAGAGTATACAGCACAACATTAGTATGGCTGATTAGCTGAAAAAACTGTTTTCCCATAGTGTATTACTGTAACCCGATGCAGAAGGAAGAAAACCATTTAAAAGGTGTGCACTTGCTGTATTTCATGAAATAAATGAGGTGTAAGAGATAATGTTACATAATGAGTTTTCAAAATACAGTGTACACTGTAGGAAAAAGCAGTAACACAAGAATCAGAAATCAAAAATCTCATTGCTATGTAGACTCCACCGTGGTCAAACCAAACACAGCAGTCTCACACATAATGATCTGAAATAAGGTATAAATGCACTTAACTGTTTAAATTCAAATAACTGCATTTGCAGAATACTTAAAGATGAGTACTTTTATAAGTTTTCCATAATACAGATTCAGTCTTGTTGAGACATATGTATATATTTTTCCATCTAGACAAAGTTCCACTGATTTCAGTAGAACCATAAATGGCTGTAGGGAGTTCTACTGATCTGAAAGAACATCTGGTTCTTACTGGAGGACCACTTGCCTAATATCAGCTTAATAAAACTATATATATGAAGCATACATGTATATATATACATAAAAGTATGCATGCATACTTAAACGTATATATCTAATGCTACTGAAGCATGCCTCTTTTATTAAAAAAAATTCAGTGAATGGTAAAAATTTTGGACCACATTTTAAGGTTAGGTTGCAATTTGGCAAAACTCTCCATGGCAAACAGAATGTGCTCTTTCCACACAAAAGTTACCACACATTCTTGTTGCTTGAAACTGAGGATCCAATGAGAAATTTTAGACTGTCCTCTAAAATGTAATTCTTGTTTAGGGAGTGTTGTCAACATCAGTTTTTAAAGACTAAATAAAATTAGAGTGTTCTTTCAATAATGTGCTCTGCTAGTTTGCAAATTTCAATTGAAATTTCTTCATGTGGTTTTCTGATCTCCAATTATGCATCGGTCCTTTCAAACAAACTTGATTCCCAGAAAATCCACATTTCTTAATAATCACTCATTACTTTGTCTATGAGCATGGATTTTAGGAAAATGCCAGTTGTCCCTGTTTTGACATCCAGAACTCTCTCACTCTTTCAGAATGAGGTCTCTGTCTAGCAAACTTACCACACACCGTAAGCATATAACTGCTTAAAATGGGTGGATATTCTAAAAATTGGAATCTAACAAAAATGTGAGAATTTTCATTAAACGTTTGCCTATTACCTACCAGATATGTGAAGAAAATATGACGGAAATACTATCATTTTTTTCTCCAAATGCTTCCTGTGATCATACATCCACAGCATGTACACAATTATCAATCAGAATTGTGTCGTCAAGTGGTGGAGCTCACCACTACACGTGAAGAAAATTTTCTTAAAAATAGCGTTGTACAACCAAATACCTCCAATATAGTTTAAGAATACTACTGGTTTGCAGTAGGAAAATAAATTCACATTAAAAGTCTGTGATTTGGTGGAGGAGATATAATGTGTCGATAACTTTCAACTAAAGACAAGTAACCTTTTGGTTTTTATTCTGGCTATTCAGCTTTGACGTGACAGTGTAAGTTACATTAAATCTAGAGACAGATCCAAATGAATGCAAGTTGACCAGAGAAACTGCAGCTTCGAGTTAGTTAAAACCTATGATGAAGTATCCAAAAGGTGATTCAGGTAGAGCAGATAAGAAACACATCAGCCATCAGATCTTCTCAGCTCCATTCTTTCACCTGTGGGTTTCACAGAGATTTGGCCATCTCAAGCAAGTAACACCTTCTGGAGGCTGAATGGGCCATTGTAGAAAATGGATGAAGCATAAATTATTACTTCCTGCAATGCTAGCCCAATGATTTAAAATATATTTCCCTGTATTAAAAAAACAGATTTTTTTACCACTAATAACTCATGTAATTTTTCTCTTGATCAGGTGTAAGACTTGTAAGACATTCTCTGACTCTTTAGAATTCTAGGTAAAACAACAGTAATGATTTATATAAGTAAACGTGTATGTGAATGAAACACTGAGGTGTTGTACAGCCCATTTTGTTCTAACATATTGATGATTCTTGTTACTTCTAAAATTGTTCTGTAACTACTTTTAAATTTAAAAGTTATGAATAGAATTCATCTGTAAGATAACAATGTGGCCACAAAAACAATTTTATTCTACAATTTGCTTACAAACCTCTGACTTTTTTTTTCATTCCAGAAGTATGCTCTTCCTGAAGTCTTCACTCCATATTTAATAATTTTTCATGCGTACTTAATCAATCATATATTTAAATGAACTGTAACCATCAACATGAATTTTGCTAGGACAAAAAGGGGAGGCAAATTTGCATATCGTTAGCAGTATGGAGTGGGTAGGATGACAGTGAGTGATGAAAGAGTATATCAATGTGGGGGATGATTCAGACCTCTTAAAATTTGTGGAGTAACAAAGAATGAGTTATCTTTGGTTGTCATCTCAACTCATTACAAATAGATTTTTTACACTTTCTGATAACTTTTTTTTCTTTGTGTCTGCACTGAAACAGAATAAAACTGAAAAGAAAATATTAGGTTATATTCTCATCTTAGCTGTGAATGAGTTCCACATTAAGATTTCTCCCTTCCTTCACCAAGCTTATTTGTGTACAAGAGTAATGGCAAAAGCAGTAATACACCTCAGGCGAAAGAGCCTGCGTGTCTATCAGTGTTTGGGTGACTGGCTTAGAGAAGGTTCATTGGAACAACGTGCCCTGGAGCAAATGAAAATACCATTCATATATGCCAATTTGGAACTCACTGTGCAGTAGACAAAGTAGTGAATAAATCCAGCACTGGAGTGCATACACACTCCCAGACTTGAGTTATTCAGAACATTTTCAATAAATTAGAATTTGTAGAAACAAATGCATTCCATGCTGATAAATAAGTTTTCATGAAGGTCTGGTGGAGAAAGTTTGGGTATACATGATTCACTAAATGGGACTGGCCAAGAAGGAGAACTACTAACAATCTCCTTTTTTGTCTCCCTTTTTTTTACCCATCAAAACCAGACACTTGAATTAACATTTCAAGTTTTTATTTTTACACCACAGGCAATGATGACAGGAGTTAAAACTTTCATGAAAATAACTGCTCTTCTCCAGGCATCAGTCATGTACAATCCCATTATGGATTGCCTAAAAAAAGTGATTTTTCGCATCACTCATATTTCAAAGCTCTGCAAAAAACAAGGGAGTTCAAACAAAATAACCTGTATTGTCAGGTTATTTTGAAGTGTGCTGCTGAGAGCTAGTGACCAGCATTAAAACTATTTGGATCCAGTACTAACATCTTATTATTGCTGCTGTAAAAGAGGTAATCCAGTTGGGAGTTATCAGATTAAAAAATCAAGAACTTGTTGCCAATAAGAGCAGAGCAGAACAACAGATAATTTCTATGATATAAGCCATTTCTTCACCCTTCCTACATTTGTCATGCCCTCATGAAGAATATCAATCAAGCTATCTGTCTAGTCTATAGGATCTGCCTTTATTCACAATATAAGCACTCTTGCTCCTCTTCACCCACATAACTGCAACTACAAAGAAAAGCCCTCAGGGGATTACAGCTTCTTAAAGCAAATTTGTCAGTTTTAATTCAGGTTAGGTGCTCGCATAACACAAACAATCAGGAAGGAACCCAATCAGTTCCTTTCAGATGCTGATGGTTCACACATAGTAATTTGTTTGGGCATACACACTTAACATTTATATGGATTCATTCTATAGACACATAATACATGTAATGAGATGGTCATCTATAAATATACATATAGATGTGTATCCCAGTATATATCTATCTGTTTATTTATTAAATAACATACTCTTATATCTCTCAAATAGATAATGTAGACAGTCCTCAATAAAAAAGCTGATAAAATTCATGTCTGATGGAGAACTGCAAAGATTTTTGTTGAAGTGTGAACGCACTATGTATGCCTATGTATATACGTGTACACCCATATACACTTGCATACACTTAATGTACGTATGCATCATATATGTGTAACAGCATACAAATCCATATATATCATTTGAGTAATGATGTGACAAACATTAGACACATTGCATAAGTACTTATCTGGGAATAACCTTTGGTTTGGCCTCTCAAAGCGTTTCCTTTTCTAATCTACACACTTCATATCTGGAGCACGTGGAAGCATCTTACCTTGCTTCCATTTTCTCTTGCCTCCCGTTCCATCTTGAGATCAGAAATTAGGAGAGTCTTGTATTTGTTCTTTCCATTACTGCTGTGATCATCTAGTCTGTATTCTGAAGTCAGCTGAGCAGAGAGGGGACTGTCACTCAGGTTCAGAGGCTGCTCATCCTGCTCCAGATTTGTTTTGCCATTACTGTTGGTTTCTGCCATCTCCCTGCAGTGTGTTCCCCCTGAAGCATTGGAACTGTGTCCCACGGTCTCATTGCCATTAAAACTCTCTGCAGCTGAATCATCTATTAAAAAATATATATTTTCAGTCATATGCCACATCATCATTTTTGTCCAGTTCAAACATAATTTATATTTTCACAATGTTTTTCAAAGTAGAGTTAAAAAGGTTTATGTTACTTAATCTCAGTACATTTTTGCAAAATGTGTGTGCACACCCCTCCATTTATTCAAATAAAAACTTTGTGTAAATCAACAAAATATTGCTAAGTTGAGGGAAATGATCCAGGCTGACACCTTAGTGTCACTGTGTACACAAAAGCTAACCATCACACTGGATTTTTAGGGACAAAGTGACAAAATCTGTCTTAAACAATCTGTCTGTCCATATGTCTGTGGATCTATTTATTCTTATATCGTATTCGTTGCTGCAGTCTTGCGTATTTCTGAGGTTAACAGAGATGCACATGGTATTGAGAGAGAATGTAAGTCTCAGGTTTTAAAGGTGCAGAGCAGCATATGTCATATTCATAAACATCCTCTTACACAATGTAAATATAACCAATGTATTCACTGCTGGCAATAGAGATTACATTGGGAAAATCGACTCCAGAAGCAAAAGATCCCCTCTTTGTTTCGTTCACGTGCTCATCTCTTTTGCTCATTTTTTGTGTTACAATATATTTTAAAACACCACTTAATAAATGATTAAATTATCAACGTGGAAGTTACATCTGGAGACTCGGGATGTGGTGGTGTTGGCCCCTATATTTTACAGCTGAAAAGTCAGGTTAACATATATTTTGGCATGCTTCTGTGTTTGTATATCCTGTGTTTGTCAGCACTGGGATTTGCCACCTGTTCTACTTTCTCAGCCACTGTTCACTCTGAAGCAGTCCTCTGGCTATCTAATAAACAATTTATCCTTCAGTAGATGAATTTGGACCTCAATTTGCTTACTTGCTCTACCAAGCACCTTACAGCAATTTATGTAGTTTAGCTCATGGTGCAAAGCCCAGCCCAGAGTCCTACAAGTCTGCGTATATCATAGGTAGTAAAGCTGGAATCAAAACTGAGGAGTTAGCCACCTGGAATTCACACAGATCAAAACTGGAGACATGAGATGAAATGGACCTTTATATGACATCTGCTATCAAGGCTCTTCTAATCATTTTCCATTGAAAGAAACAAACATGTTCATACACATATGGTTTTTAAAGACACCACAATGCATACTTTAAAGGATGTGCTCAGAAACATTCACACTTCAAGCTACACAATTGATCAAACTGTTGTCTATCAATAGTTAACACAGTAAAAAACAAGTATTCCGACCCTCAGATTAGAATTTTGAAAGTGAAGAAAATTACAATACAAATTAGTAATGATCTAGTTCACTTAAGTTCTTAAAGAGCCACAGGCAAGACATCATACATCAGCATTTTGCTTGCTGCACGCATCCAACACCACTGTGTCAAAGTATGTAAGACTTGGCTCCCATTGTGAAGATTTTTTGGTTTCTAAACCTGTAAAAAAATCTATTTTCATGAAAATACATAATAAAAATGACATTTTAAATGCTTTTACTTAAGGAGCAGATTCAACTTTTACAAAATGCTTTATATTTAATGGCTGCAATGAAAAAAACAATAAGCAAGATATGTTTCAGTTTATAACATTTTTACATTACCTCTCTTGTAAATATAAACGTGTACAGACTAAAAGATACACGCTGTTCCTGAAAGCAGATTTTTAAATATATACAACTTGCATTTTAGGCACCATCTCACTGTGACATTCTTATTTAAAAACCTGGGGCTAATTAAAGATTGAAGTGACATAATTTTGACGTCAACACAATGTATCTCTAACCATTCCTTGTGATCTGTGACTTACAGGACCTTAACAATAACACATAATAATAATAATAATAATTTTAAAAGATTAAAATTCCGAGTAAAGTTTCATAAATAAATACACTTTTACATGAATTGTATAATTCAGAACTAGGAAATGGTACTTGAAAAGGGAGATGATTTTTTTCTTTTAAAGAAAACAGCTATATTATCTATTCATTTTTTAAAAGCTCTGAAATATAAAAAAGAAATTCAATTTAATTAAAAGAGAAACACTTTTGCTAGGGCTGATTTGCATTTATACTGTTATTAGATGATTGCCTTCTTGATTATCGGTTTAACAAGTGACAGATAGATTCAAATTAATTAAATCAATCAGCAGCAAGTGGTGGAGGCTCCTCCCTTTTAAGAGTTCAGGATATCATCTGTGGTTAGGAGCAAAGAGAGAAACAATTTAGTTACCAGAGAATGTACAGCTAAAAGCTGAGGCCGATGCTTCCTCTGCAGCACCTAAATCTGATTCTTGGGAAGACACTGTGTCCTGGCAGCTGAGAATCTTGTGCAGAGGAGCCGGATGGCTAAATGGGAGTGATGGAGTAGGAAAGGAGGTGTGTCCAGAGCCAGATCCAGGAACGGCTAAAGTTCAAAGCAAGGCTTTTACTTTGGGCTTGGAGTCATTAACTTGGTTTTAATTCTCTCTTCCTTTTCTTTCTTGGGTTTTTTTTTTTTCCCGTATGATGAATGATTGATAACTAAAACTTGCACATGTCTGCCTGTTACAGTGTGAAAGAAAAAAATTAAACATCTTTTCTGCTTATTCTGAAATACAACCACTGAAAAATTCCTATAAAATACCTACGCTGAATAAATGTCATCAAGCATTATGTTATTTTGAAGAAATAATACATGTACATTGGCTTTGCCTAGCAAAAGCTTTGTTACTTGATGGTATATCTCAGTTCTACTTTAAAGTCAAATACCATCTTTTACAGTCATTTAACCTTGCTCATTAGAAACAGTTTCCCGATTGTCAGTTAGGAAAAGTGTTCAGGAGAACAGCTGCAATGACCATAAAGCACACTTTTGCCAAGTAAAAATAAATGTGTTGCCATAAGAGAAATAAAAATAAAAAAATAAAAAATACTGGTTTAGCACTGGTAGTTCCTTACAGATGTTACCAAGGTAACTAAATTACAAGGTTTCATGCATTTCTCATTCTGGGCAGGTGGTCTGCTCATGCCAAGAACAAGGCTACTTTAAAGCTGGAGCTACCCAGTGCCTGAGGCACAGAAACACAGACTGTGTGAGTAACTGGTTTGAGGAAAAAAAGGCTCCTGTTTCATGAAGGACACCACTAAAGGTGGGCCACAAAGGCAGAGGCCCAGCCCCTGGGTTGCAGAGAAATGTAAGCAAGGAACTTGGTGGGACCTGGGATTCATTGGCATCATGGTGGCAGCTGGGGTTGGCCTGGGCCTGACATTCATCACAGCCAATTCATGTGTAGGCAATGGTTGCACCACTGATGCAAGGACAGTGTGTTTTTGCAATATGCCTCTTGCCATAACCATGGCTTATGAAGGTTTATGGGAAGACCTCCAGGAAAGCACCCTGCAGCTGCAGGTACCACAAGCTGAAAGAAAAGGGGCAGATAGCTTCCTGACCTGTATCATGTGCCAGGACAGTCACAAAAGAGGAACTGAGAAGAGTTCATAGAATCATAGAATCATAAATTGCCTGGGTTGAAAAGGACATCAAAGATCATCTAGTTTCAACCCCCCTTCTACATGCAGGGTCACCAACCACCAGATGAGGCTGCCCAGAGCCACATCCAGCCTGGCCTTGAATGCCATCCACAACCTCCTTGGGCAGCCTGTTCCAGTGTGTCACCACCCTCTGTGTGAAAAACTTCTTCCTAATACCTAACCTAAACCTCCTGTCTCAGTTTAGAACCATTCCCCCTTGTCCTATCACTATCCACCCTTGTAAACAGTTGTTCCCCCTCCAGCCATTCACATCTTCAATTCCTCCCCAGGTCACCGCTGTCCAGAGACATCAGCCATGATAGTGAATGATGGCCTCATCAGACAATGCTGCTTCCTCAGTGCAAGCCACGTCTTTAGGAACTGTCACTTTGAACCCTTACCCCACACACTGGAAGGATGGAAGTATATCTACATTTTCTGTTGCATAAGCCTGAAAAGAGAGAATCTGACTGCAAAACAGGTATGTACTTTTCTTCTCAGAAATGCCTACAAGATATGCCCTTTGAGGGATTAAGGAGTATAACCCCCCCCAGAGAAAAGCTTGTTGTTTGAATGGGACAGCATTCTGCCTTCTGCTGAACCAAGGAGCACAGCCAAACTGAAAAAAATGGCAGGAAAGAAAGCCCAACCAACACACAAAAACAGGTACTCTAACTAGTTGCTTTTTTTTTTTTCATAACAGTTGCATCCTTCACTTCAGTTATCTACTACATGACCTAATTATTTGCCAAAAATCAGTTTCTCTGTATTTTACACATCACACTGTGCAAGTGATTTCCATGACAGTTCACAATCTAAGGACACTGACTTAGAGCAGGAAGTCAGGTATTAATTTAAAGGATTACCCTCTTCCACTCAGAGAGAATTGTCCTCAGATCAGATAAGTCAAATCCTCAACACTGTTCACAGTAAGGGCTCTCTTAAAGGGAAACAAGTTGAAGTGTGCATGAAATTTGACTTGAATAACAAGTCCCTCAAACACTAGTTTTCTCAGAGCACAAATTTTAGATCTAAAACTGATATAAGCATCACTGATTTACTGTGAACCTTGAACTAAGGTACATATACACGATTCTTGCTTATCTCCTTGTAAGAAAAAAATCTTCAGATGTTTTAGAGGATCTCTTGCATTATTGTCAGCAAACAATTTCATACTATATATCACTCAGGCTTCTCGTCTTCCTTGCAGATAATTCAGGGAGGGAGTCAACAAACCCTTCCACACAAAGGTAGATCTCTGAATAATTTGTCTCCTTTTCTCAAATTACTTGTCAAGCTAAAATTCAATTAATATTCAGAGCATGCTTAACTAGTTTTTCTAGTTGAAAATTGTATGAAAATTACTTGAAACTAACTGCATATTTTACAAGTCAGAAATCTACAGTTTTGCCCTTCAGCTCTAGCAGCAGTAGCATGACACAGTCCCACAACCACACAGCCACCTGG